TCAGCTGGCCATTTTCAAAAGCACCCAAACATAGGAAGAAATAGCTCTCTGTCTTTTCTTCTAGTTACAGTGGACAGGTAACCTTACAAAAAATTTTTAGAGCTTCAAATCCACACAGGATTCAGTTTTAGGTTACAGACTATTTGAAAATTTGTATTTTCAACTCTGGTATTCCTCTAGTATTTCCTCCTAAGTATTCAAGTCCTCAGTCTAGGAAATTATTAAGAAAGCTCTAAACTGATATAAGTTATATCAGTTATATAGATAGAGTATACTAACAACTTCCTTCTGGACAGTGTATCAGATCTTTTCAGTATTTTCATGAAGTCATTAATCCTACAGTGGGACTAACATCAGCACGTTGCAGTGTTGCAACTGGCTGTCTGATGGCTCAGAATTGCAGACATTTGAATATATCCCTAGAAGGAAATTGTAGCAGACCATGCAGAGAACAATGACAAACATGGAAGAATGCAAGTATGTTATGCTAGCAATATGAACTACAAAGAGCACAGGTTTTAGGAACTGCAACAACCCTTCCATCCAATGGCTGACACTTCAAACACTGTCCATGGCAAAATTGAGGTTTGGGAACCCAAACACTGACTTGTTTTGTACCAAGTCAGTACAAACACTAAGGATTAAGCACACCATGAAAACAAAACCAGAATCTTTCTTTCCTGTCAAAACTAGTTGCCTCTGCGTTGGTGTCCTTATTCCTGTCTGACAACCTTCAGGGCAGCTCCAGGGCTCACTGCAACAGTGGCAGATTCCAGCAATCCCTCCATAGGGATTCCTATGCACCAATCCCTGTACCAATCCCTGCATAGAAGGACAAAAAGCACAGAATCTATTTTGTGCTGCAGGGCCCCTCTCCTGAGAAAATGGGATGGTGTCCGTCAGCATAGGCCAAAATTTTGTTCCGATGCCACAAAATATCTTGTGAAGTGAGCCATACTTCTGCTTTAAAAGAAGTCAACAGGAGTGAATGAGGCCCACGCTAAACACTGTAGCAACTCTATTCTTCAGGTATTCATCCAAAACGAGATACAGAGCTTCTCCCAGACATAGGCTAGCAAGTGGATCTCCGTACAGGAGGGATGTGGCGATGCTGGAGTGGATCCAGAGGAGAGCCACGAAGATGCTCAGAGGGCTGAAGCACCTCTCCTATGAAGAAAGGTTGAGTAAGCTGGCCTTATTTAGCTTGCAGAAGAGAAGGCTCTGAGAAGACCTCACTTCCAGCCTTCTAGTACTTGAGGGGAACTTACAAGCAGGAGGAGGACCAACTTTTCAGAAGGTCTGACAGTGACAGGACAAGAAGGAATGGCTTTAAACTAAAAGAGGGGAGATTTAGTTTAGATGTTAGGAAGAAATTCTTTACTCAGAGGGCGATGAAGCACTGGCAGACTGACCAGAGAGCTGTGGATGCCCCATCTCTAGAGGCATTCAAGGACAGCTGGATGGGGCCCTGAGCAGCCCAACCTGGTGGTTGGCACTGGGTGATAACTAATGTCCCCTCCAAACTAAGCCATTCTCAGTGCACTGCACTGAATAACACTCCCCCTACAAGCAGTAAACAAAATAAGGAAAAGGTAGACAAAAGAGAAACAAATTGCCCAAGGTCACAGAGCATCAGAACATATTATTGTGTGTCTCTCAACCACTAACCAGCACCACCAGCCAAGCCTTTTCTTCAGCCTCAGTGTTACACAATATTAGCAGAACTGCCATAGCACCCACAAGGCCTAATATGAAGTATAACTGGAAATGTAGTAACAGATGCTTTAAGTATCAAATATTATATATTATATATAATATATATTATAATATATATTATTTAAAGCTTTTCTGACTCAAGAAGTATTGTACTGGTAAGTTACCTGTCTTCCCCAGGGAGGTCTTCAATACTTCCAAACCCAGGGGTTGGCATAGGGCATCCCATGTGCTGGAAATGAGCTATGTGAGGTGCAGGAGCTGGAGTTTTCCCACCAGACTTTTTGTGTTCCTGCTCCGCTCTGACCCGGGCGTTCTCCCTGTCACAGACGAAACACTCAAAGCCATTCAGGTAATTGGGCAAAGTCATGTCATTCACACCCCACTCCCGCCTCTCCAAGTTCTCTAGCAAGAACTGGTTTTTGATGCCATCAAGGTTTTTATACTCTAGGTACTTCATGTATTCCTCTCCATTCTTGTCAAGGAAATCAAGATACTTTGCCAGCTCTTGGGGGCTCTCAAAGTCATCGATAAGAATGATGGAGAAGTTGTTTGGCATCCAGTCCCGCACGGCTGGGGAGCCTCGGTACACTGGGACAGCACCCAAATGCATTGGACGCCACAGCTTCTCTGTCATGTAGTCCTTACATATGGCATTCTCCAAGGCCAGGTGGAACTTGTACCTGGCGATAAAAGCCATGAATTCGGGATCTTCTGCAGTGGCTGTTGAAGTGTCTCTCAGTCGCTCGCTGGGAAGCTCCCGGTTATGAAGGCATTTTCCATAGGAGTCAACCTATAAAATAACCAAAATAACAAGTCATCTACACAAAGTGATTTTTTTTGCCTGGAGCTCATAGTCCTCCTAAAATTCCTAACTTTAATCAGTTCCTAACTACCTCAGTTGAGCCTCGCTTTACTCCCAACTTCATTCCGTCTGGATGACTCCCAGATTTCCACTTCTCTTATAACAGCTTTAGTCACAAACTGAACGCTCAGTTCCAAAAGCAGCATAAACTAAAAGTAAGGCAGAGGACAGAAGAAACAAGATTTTACAGAAAAAAAAAAAAAACCAAACGTATTTATTAGAGAGTTAAGAAGAAACTAAGAGTTAATAAAAGGGCATCCAGCTTCCTCCATTTCGGTTTAAAAGTCATATTTCTACTTCGTAGGGAGCAGGCCTTTTCCAAACAATGATTTCACACAGCTTCCAATCTCAACAGATTGGCAAAAATTTCCACTTGTTAGACTGAAAAAAATGATGGATGTAGGGAGCTGGAAGAGTACTGTGGAAAAACAAAGAGTATGCTTGATCCAGGGTCTGCTTCGTGCTTTGACTATACAGAGGCAGGTTTCTAAAAAGATTTTGCCTTTGCTTTGTTACTTAACAAACAATGAACTTGCATAAGAAATTAATCACTGCTAATAGAAACAGCAGAATCAACTCAGAAGAAAACGTTTCTAAGATTTCCCCTATGGACCATCCTTTAGTTTTTAAGAAAAGAAAGCACTAAATTTGTTTCCACCCCAAAGAAGCGGAGCTGTTTCAATTTGTGAAGCTGCTCTCCACAGGCGGTGCCCCAGCAGAGCCACCCGGAACAGGCACAGCAGAGCCCCACCACAAGGCAGACGAGGAGCAGACTCTCAAAACACGGCAAACTGCACGCCCATTCTTGTAAGTGGGAGCAAGGCTCGCCAATGGACTCGCAGCCTTCCTTCCCTCCCGCTCACCTGAAGCTCCAGATTCCAGCAGCGCACAGCGCTCGGTCCGCAAGATCTATGCAGGCTCGGCACAACTTTCTGCCGATCGCAAGCCGGCCAACCCCGCAGCGCCCAGCAGCTCCACCGGCACGCAGCTAGCCTTTCTGTCCGGCCTGCCGCTCCCCGTTACGACTCACATCTCGGCAGAACCGAGGACAAACGCGCCCCGTTAACGGAGCGGCTCGGCCAGGTGGACCCGGCTCCCACAGCGTCCCGCGCCGCCGCACGCACCTGGATGTACTTCATGAGCTCCCGCACGTAGCGGTCCCGGTCCGAGGGCACGTCGCAGTGGGACTGCACGTAGAGCACCGGCCCGTAGCCCCGCCGCCGCCACTCGTCCTTCTCGGCCAGGGGCAGCGCCGGGCCCCTCAGGTAACCCGCGCCGGGCAGCCACTGCAGAGTCAGCGGGTAGTCCGACTCGCGGCGGAAGGTGGCCGTGTAGTTGAAGAGGCGGATGCCGGGCGGGTGCGAGAGGAGGAAGTTGTTCATGGGCGACTCCTCGTGGAAGAGCGCCCACGTCTGGTGGGGCAGGCGGGGCAGCGGCGCCTCGTAGGCGCGGAAGTCGGTGCCGTAGAAGATGAGCGCCTTGGTGCGGCGGTGCCGCGCCGCCCGCCGGCTGCGCGTGACGAGGCAGGAGCCCCGCGGGCAGTCGATGCGCTCCGTGTCGCCGGGGAAGTGCGGGAAGAGGCTGCCGCTCCACCACAGCAGGATGGGCAGCGCCTCGTCGCCCCGCGCGTCGTCGTTGCCCGGCCCGCGGTACGACGCCGCGGCCGCGAAGGCCGGAACCGGCGGGACGGCGGTCTGCGCCCAGCCCTCCGCCCCGCACGGCGTCCCCGCGTCCCCCGGCCCGGGCTCTCCGTCTCCTTCCCCCTCCCCCGCGGCGGCCCGGCTCCCCGCGCCCCACGCCAGCGCCAGCGTCACCCAGAGGCAAGCGGGTCCCCGCCGCGCCGGGCGGCCCGGCCCTCCGCCTCCCATGCCCCGCCGCTCGGCCCGCGCCGGCCGCCCCGCCGCCAGGAAACGGCTGCACCGGGCCCGCCCTCGGGCGGCGCTGCGTGAGGAGGCGCGCGGGCGACGGCCGCCGGGGCGGGGGGGAGAGCGGGGGGCGCCGCGCGTCTGCGCTCTGACGTGAGCAGAAGCACGTCCTCTCTGCCTCCAGCGCAGCGAGCGGGCTGAGCTCGGCTCCGTCCTGCCGGCGACGGAAGCGGGACTCCTTCCCGGCGGAGCCGCTGTTCTGAAGGAGCTCACGTGTAGCTGCTCTCCTGCACGAACCTGGAAATAACGCCTTTGGTATAGAAATGAAAGGAAAGGGGGTCCTTGCAGACCGCTCGCTGCAAAATGCAAGTTCTGAAATAAAAAAAAAACCTCGCTGAGATCAAACAGCGCCTTTTGGGCGTTTGCTCTCGTTGAATTTCTTATCGCCGTTCGCAAGAAAGAAAGGAGCAAAGCTGCTCCGCAGAAAAACAGGTTGTGAAGGAGCACCCGGCCAGACTGCAGCCCTTCCCCTCTCCTCCCTCCCGCAAAATACAGGGTTTGGAAAAATAAGCAGTGTTTATTTACTAACAATGACATAAAATACATCTTAATATATTTTTATTTCTTTACAAATTAAAAGATGCATTGGAAAAAAACAAGTGAAGAAAATGAAAGGTTCATTTTACGATCTCATTTTCACCCCCCACGCCCCTCAGTATTAACACTAGAAATTAGTATCTGTGGAAAGTTGTGGTTGCTGAGCCTTATATTCCTGGGAAGATTTTCCCCATGTGGTTAAAAATCCTCTAGCTCTTTTGGGTGGAGGCAATGCATGGAATAAAACGTCAGCCACATTCATACAAAAACAAGGAAGGTTTTGTCAACTACTTTGTCAGAGTTTCTCCATACTCCCTTTTCTATGTAGTGATGGGAGGGAAGACAAATCAGCAGCGTCATAAGAAAAATGGATTTATATACATGCTACAGGATATGGAACTATAACCACAGCCAGATATTTTTCTGATCCTAATAAGAATGTTTTCTCTGAAGCATCAAGCCCAGACAATAACTCCTCTAACCACCCACAGTTTTTCCTCCCCCTTGTAGTGCTCAAACTCCAGGGAAGTTTAAGAACACTTGTTAAGTGCCCAAACTGCTACACAATCCCCCTTCCCATAGTGAAGGATCAAAGCCCTTAAAATTCTGAATCTGATTTGCAGTTGCTCCTTCTTCACAGAATTCTTCTCAACCATCCCCGCAGAATGGAGTGGCAGAGTGGCCAACGTGGATGGACTCGTGTCTGAGGTATTTTAGTTTAACAAATAGGCTTATAAAAAGGATTTGTGCAAGCTGATAGGTAGAATGGAAAGCGGGTATAAACATCCAGTGATGAAACTTCACTACGGCCAAAACCCTTCCCAGTAACTGAAATCAGGTACTTGCAATACCTAATACAGGGCAGTCTAAACCTCAGTTTTTGTCCCCTGTTCCTTGTAATCCAGGGCACGAAGCTGTCTCAAATTTGGGTCAGTAGAAATCATACTCCTGCTTGTCTGCTATGAATTACAAGTGTGGCCCAAAGGGGCCAGTTCCTTATCATCCAGCTCCCACACAGCCCCAAATCACCTTTTAACAGTATTTTCTGCTCAACTTTAAGAGGATTTTGCTCTCACTGCCATCTGGATAGATTCTTCTGCAGAAGAAGAGAGTCTACAGAACATGGACTGAGTGGGATATTATCACAGGGCTGTGAAATGAGAAAGAAAGGAGTCACCACTCATACCAACAAGAAGCACTAACTACCCCTGTGCTGTTCAGAAGCTGTTGATAGTTACTGAATTATTACTTCCTCCAGTGCAGATCTGCAGATCAACTTACAGCACAGGGAAGAAAGCAGAAATAAATCTGTCTTGCTGCCTACTGGCTTTCTATGCTTTTTTTGGGGGGGGAAGATTTCTGGTTCAGACAAATACGATACACTTGTGCTCTGCAATGTCATTCTTCCTCTACAAAGAGAAAGGAAATGTTTGGCTGCTTCAGCTCCCATCACCCAACCTGCCTCTTGCCCTCCCAACCTGCACACCCTCTGTACAGTAGGAGCGTGCCCACGCGCCCATACAAACACACAGCAACTACTAGAGATTTTGAAGTTATCGCTTTTTCACCCAATGTTGAATCATGTACAGTGAACTGAAAAAAAAAACTACATTCATTACAACGGGATTAGCGAGCATGGGGCGGGGGGTGAACTCCTGCCAAGCACAGGAAACAATTTAGATACAAGTAAAAGACCTGGTATCAAAGGCCCTTTTTTTTTGTTGTTTTTGTTTTTTTTAGCCCTCACCAGGAAAAAGAATTCATCTCTCATATGGGACCAGGAGAGGTTGAAAGGATTTCTGCTTATGTCATGTGTATTAAAAATTATGGAATTGTACAGATTTCTATGTTGTCCTTTTTGAGGGCGCTGGACCTTCCGATCAGATCATTAGAGAAGACTGAAATGTCACTGCTGAGTTCCAGCACCACTCCCTCCTCTAGCTCAGTAGCTGCCGAATCTCCTTGTGCATGTGACACAGGAAGTCCACATATGAAGCCCCCCCAGTTAGGCTCTTATCCTCCACCAGAAAATGTTTGAAGAGCATTTCCAGCTTATCTTCTTGCTTCACAATTATTAACTGCCAACAAAACACGATAGTTAGTACAATTATGCTCTTGGGAAAAAAAAAAAAAAAGCTAGATAGCTCAAAATACTATGAACACAGCAAATAGACCTTCTGTGCTTTCACTTTCATACTTGTGTTAAGTCTCAGTCATATTTATAAAGAAAACTCCACATACATAGTTTGTGGAGAAGTATAATTAGATTGAAAATCATTAGCTTTAGAGCTTGGTAAGCATGAACTCTAAAACTAATACCAGATTTTTTTTTCAGATCCTTGAAAAAATGTGTAAGTTTGAATCACAGTTGTTATGACTGTGTTCAGCATTAGGTTTTACACGAACAGGATTAGCATCACCTGCTTTGCCAGGAGTCAAAGAGGTGAATAAGAGCTGTGAATAACGATCAGCATTTTTACCTTCATGTATCGGGATCTCTGCAGGTGAAGCATGTCAATAATAGACCGTACTTTCTTTGAAAAGGGGTTTTCCAGGACAGGCAGGGTACTCTGGAATGGAAGATATCCAATCCCCGTTAGTCAGGTGGAGAAATATAACAGCATTAAACAAAGCCAGCAAAAACAAAAACAACACAGCAGGACTGGCATTATTATTTAACATTACAAATATATTTACTGTCACAATTTCCTTGACTTCTGCTATTACAAAAGGAAATGTCACATGGTTTCAAAACTAAAGATTGATTATTTTTGTATCAGCTGTTCTCCTTATCACCAATGGCAATGTGGCTTGCCAGATTAAGCTAGGCAAAAGGAAGTGTACATGCTCAGACTGGATGTCTCTGCTACTTTCATGCACCCATGCTTCTCACTGTTATTAACACAAAAAAGTTAAAATTATTTTCTCAACTTGCTTTCTCAACGTTTCAACTACTGGGCAACTATCACACACAGCATCTCCCACACTGCCATCCAGCTCACCAAGGTGTTGCTAATCTGACTGAAGGATGACACTCCAAAGAGGTTCTGGATCAGGCCTTGCTGCACGTTCACTCCCACCCACACAAAGATGTTCAGCCCATTCTCCAGCAGGTAGATGTCACCCTTGGAGAGACGTTCCTCTGAGTTTCGGATTGCTGCCGGTAAGGAATCACTGTCAACATCTGCTTTGGTCTGATTTGGAGTGAAAAAATCAGAGTTATAAAACAAAAACATTTAGGAAGTCTGGAAAATTTCTGTCACAAGATCCTAGAGGTTTTTTAATGTTTATAACACTGCAGTAGCTGTGACTGAAGTACCATCTTTCTTGACTAGTTTTCTTATTGAACAAGACACTGGTAAGAGACTATTGGTTAACAAAAGAAAACAGAAGTTGCTCTGAAAGTAATCTGTAGTTTCAATACTGCTTCCTGGAGCATTAATGTAATTAGTATTTAGTGTTACTTCAATAACTACAATACTGGAAAGCGAGAATAGTAAGAGAAGTTTCCCTGCAACAACTAAAATTACAGCAAGATTACAAAAAGCCTAACAATTAAAAAAAAAAAAAAAAAGCTACCACAGATTTAAAAGATTTTTCCATGCCACTGGTTACAGGCTCACAGCTCAGAGCAAATCCTCCGACAAATTCACAAGAGGCAGAAATACAGCTTTCACTGAGTGAAATTAACTCAAGTATCTCAATGGATGCCAGATCCCAAATACCTCTCAAGTGGTTTTCCACTGATAAAACACAAATGCCAGTCACTGGGACAAGTCAAGACAACAGCGAATCTCAAGTGTTACGAACGTCTCAAAAGACTCACCAGGGGCAAAAGCCTGGGATAAAAGAAGACATTTGTTTCTGCCACGTCCATGGATGTGACTAACTGACGAATGTAGGCACGGTCATCTGTTGTGACCTCTGGACCAGGCTGAAGGACGTCACTCTTCAACACACAATTCAAGTAGACAGGAAGCAGCTTCATGCATTCAGGAAGAATCAGCTACAAGTCACAAGCATACAGAAGATGTTCAGCTCTCTTGCTGAGTAAGCTTATGCCTGACAAAACAAGCCTAGAGTGAACCAACAGTGTGGCACAAATGCGAGAATAGAAAAGTGACAATCTATATACAATATGGACCTGCAAAAGTAACATAACTGGAGCAAGTAGTGCTTTCTGAGCTCCAGAAAATTGTCCAACAAGCCATTCTCAACCGTAGTTTCACTTGTACTCTCCTTTTCTATTTTTTTGAATAGGCAAAATAATCAAGGAATCTGCTAAAATCACATTTTAGTATCTAAGTCCATGATTCAAATTAAAGCATCAGAGTTCACCTGGCCAGCAGAAGATGGACTAGCACAGTTTTTTCGATAGCAAGCCAGAATCTGGGCACACTGATTTATCAGTGAATCTCGTACAGCCTTTACTGGGCTATTCAGAACTCCACGATATGCTGCAGAGAAAGGAGAAATAAATGGGACAGTTACGAAATGACTGCTGACAAACAGTTAAAAAAAAAACCAACATTATTTCCACAAAGTAAGTCTAAACAACTATTGTTTATAGTTTGGGAGTAGTTCAAGTACAAACAGTTGAAGCATATTTTTGGACAAATGGTCCAAAAATAAACAATTATGAATTCAGACAGCTTTCAATACAAAGCTCTAAAAATATAGTTAACAAGTTGTAGGATAAGGCTACACCTTCTACTTGAAACTCTTGTCCTAAGCAACAATATTATCTTCACAGCTTTGTGCTCTTTCTCCTAAGTGGCTGAAGTATGAAGATTGCTCCCTGACACTTGATTCACAAAGACTGAACAGGTGTCACTGAATGACAATTTGAACAGCATTTAAGGCTTAAGGACTCTTGTTAACATATCTATTCTTACCATATTTAGCCAAGTAATTTATAAGTGTGTCTGTCTCGCAGTTTCGATAGAGGTCAGCAAGCTGTGTACAACAGTTCAGTGAGAGGTTGTGAATCCGGAGTCGCCGCTGTCCTGCACAGCTTGTATATAGCAGAGCACACTGTATGGGACAAAAACACCAGGGTATAGGAAAATGAGACACTGTTACAATAAGCTAGGCAGGGCTTGAGCATACCTCTTTAAAAATTCAGACTCAGATGCTTTAACAAGCAAGAAAATTACGTAGAGGATTTGCACAATAAGCTAAAAGCATCTGCTAAGAATCAGCATCAATGAAAGATAACAAGTGGCAAGCATTTTTAATCATAGAAACTTGTCTTGGAAAATAGTCTGTGGATTGAAGCTTTTGAGGTCATCCTAAGGCCACATATCCTGAAAATTTAGGGGAACATTAATGGACAGAAACAATGAACAGTTCCTTGAGGGAATGTCAGTTTCAAGGCAACAGTCGTCCTCTTCAATTGGCACATTACCAACTTAGGCTTCGGTTCTGGCCTTGGCACACTTCTGAAAAGAATTCTGAATTAGTTCCCTTCCTTTTTCTAGAAAGCTTTCTGCCCTCCACCTCACCTGGAGGAGCGCACCACTGTCTTCACTCAGTTTGTCATCATGCTTGAATTCAACTGTGATTGTTTTGTCACAGTCCAAGCCTGCCATCTCCACATCAGTTGTGTTGCTCATATAAAAAGCTCCAAAAAAGTCAGTTGCTCGAATGCCTACAAAAGGAGGATACAAAGAAGTATATAAATAAGTTGTACTTTTCAGCAGAATAACAAGACAGCCTCTGGAATCCTGAAAATCCCATCGTCAGGAAAACAACAAATTATCTCAAGAGACTTCAGCAGGAATCTTTTTTCAGTCTTTACAAAATGTTAAAATGACAAAGCTTTAAGAGAACTTTTTGCATGGCATAGCCTCAGAAAGTCTTAAATAAGGGCAAAAACTGTTACTTCCCATATGGTATGCTTTAAGTGGTTAATTTATTAAAACTTACTCATGCTAACACCCACCTGTGCTTGTACGTACTCTCATCACAGCATCAAACCCCACTTCTTTCTGGACATCTCTTCTTAAGTCATTCAGGAACCTATCTTGGTCTGTCTCAAGCTACAACATGATAAATAATTCAAGTTTCACCATAAATCAGAGCTGCTACATAAACTACAAAGTAATTTTTAAAAAGGCAACACTGTAGGAGTACTTGAAAAAATAAAACAACAGTCAGCACGTTGTGCTTAGTGCCCTACTGCTATATTATCATGCTAGAAGTTAACAGAATAACTTGTTGTTCTTCATACATTCTTTGTGTAAAGGCAAAGCTAACAATCTTTCAGCAAGATTCCTGCACCATTTTGGAGATAAAGTGTTACTTCAATTTCTTCTTCACTATGGTTTACACCACGAAGAACAGTAACTTTTATTCAGACCAAGTATCAGTCTGATTCAACAGGGCTCTTACCTGGAAATATGCATACTTATAAATGGAGCCTCCTGTCTGATAAGTTACTACACCTAATGTTGCCACATCCAAATACTGGTTTGGAAACAGGAACAGATCCACACAACAGCCCTGGGCTACACAGTCCTTGGCCAAATTGTTGTAGAAGCTTGTCTGAGGTTGAAACAAAGTCTAAGAAAATAAGTCAGAGACAATACAAAAAGTTTATGGTTAAAGAAAAAGAAAAGTATATGGGCTGGGGGTTATAATCACAATCAAAACAATCTTATGCTAAGTCTCACTTAAGGAAACTCAGAGTTATATGAAAGTCTTCCTAAGTCTGCCTTCGAAAAACAATGAAATGTCATGAAAATTACTTCACACGTTGCTTTAATCCTGAATTCTGTTCACTTTAACACACCTATAGTATTTTATCCTGTACAATAAACTAGGACATACCTTTTCTTCTTGTACCAGAGCTGTCTACATATCTCTGATTGAGAGCAGAAGATAAAAGCAGAATATAGAAAGATAATAGCTTTGATGGTTACATTATATGCTAGCCCCTTCTCATTCTTTCAATGAGATGTCAGGTTAATTTTATCCCATGTAAAGTACAATGTAGAACTGTACCATAAGCATCATGCAAGTCATTGTTACCTTCTCCTTATCTGTGTTGATCAGTTTCTTATCATCTCTGTTCTTTAACTTCCCTGGGGCCTCTGCAATGGGCAGAGAGGTGTGGAAAATGAAGAGCTTGCCAGCACACTCAGCTGCCTGTAGAAGAGAGGGGGTAAAGCTGCTCAGGTTAGAAACATTTAATAAAAATCTTCAGGGAAAATGTGATTCAAGGACACACATACAAGCATCTTTGTTGCTTCATTTCTTTATGTAAGGAACTAAACATGCATCAGACACAGATTCAGTAATTACTTGGTTATATCAGTAATACCTAACACTGGGAGCACAGATTCCTGATCAGTTACAGAAAATGAAGTAAGTTTCTGTTCCTCTGAACCTGTGCTAGATCGCTGGTAGGGAGAAAAGAACTAGCTACAGGATGACAAGGAAATCTTAATATTCTAAAGCAGCTAAAAAAGGTTTTGCACAAATGAGTTAGATTGGTTTATTCTGATTTACAGCTGCTGAGCTTGTAGAAATAGAAAAGTCACAGAATCACAGAATCATAGGGGTTGGAAAGGACCTCCAGAGATCATCGAGTCCAACCCCTCTGGTAAAGCAGGTGCCCTACACCAGGTCACACAAGTAGGTGTTCAGGCAGGGTCTTGAGTATCTCCAGAGAAGGAGACTCCACAACCTCCCTGGGCAGCCTGTTCCAGTGGACAGTCATAGAAATGGTAAAGGACTTTGTAATCTGACTTCCGAGAATCCTTAATTTTAAATAAGTTAATTTTAAATAAGCCTATATGAACATTAGCAGTTTTTAGTAGATTATTTGCTCTGCCAAATTCAGTATGCGAGAATTCAACTGGTAGTTAGAATTGTATCTTGACTGAAGGACTGCCACCAAATTTAAGCATAGGGGATACTTCTAAGAACATACCTGACAGACAAATAAAGCTACAAGAACAGATCTGGGGAAAATCATACAGGAAATTAACTTGATCAGTACACACAAGTGTGAGTTAAATCACACATGCAGTCACCTAGTACTGGAATGGAAGAGTTTTGGAAAAGTTTTCTGGGTTAACACATTGGTATGGGTAACTCACTAGATTGCTTTCTTTCCTTTAACTAAAGATTATATTTCAAGCACAGCATTAGAAAGATACCACACTACAGAATGCCTGAATAAGACATGATAGAGTTCAGCACTGGGTTTTAATGCTGGAAGGACGGGGTTTTTTATGGTAGGTTCTAGAAACTGCTCAGAGCAAAAATGCAGCCAGGTCACTAAGGTTAAGTCATATTTCTTGCTCTTTGTGCAAAAATGCTTTCTGAAAATAAGCAAAAAAAGAGCCACCTACACAGAACAGGAAGTACATATACCTTCTTTAGCAGCCAAGTACTCCCTACACGTACCAAGTCTATCAACAGCAAGAAGACTCAGAAAAAACTTCAGATTTTTCTTAGAAGTGTATGAACATGAACTTCAGAGTAGTGAAAACAATTTGCCATGACAACACATTTACTAACCTTCAGTGCTTCCAGCCCTGCTTGGATCACAGGTCCAAAAACAGTTTCTGTTTCTCTTGTGTCTGCAAACATTTCTGGAATCTGGTCCAGCAAGCTAACAAAAAACAAAAGGAAAAATTCAGGAAGATTAAATTTAAATGGTAAAGCCACATGGAGATACTGCTGGTGAACTACTAGACTAGGTGGCTTAAACAAGTGTCCCTAACAATATATGAAGTATGTGTAAGTCTATATACATAATCACTTATTCTCCCCAGTATTTGGCATGTCATTAGTTTGCTGTGGAAAAGAACTCATGCTTTGTCATCCCTTACTGACTTTCTCAGCAGCTTCAGCTGATGCCTGTATCAACAACTCCTCTGTATTTTGCTTTTTTAATATACTCCAATGTATACTGCTAAATAAACTCTTAAGAAAGCCTACCAATACTTTGCACCTCTTTGCCAAAATCTGTGTGCTACTGAAAGATTAACTGGTTTAATGGACAGCTTTGTATTTGTTCTCGCTAATGCACTACAAATATACAGCTATAATTTATATAAAAAAAAAAACCCAGAACAACAAAACATGCACTGTCTAGTTCCCAAAACCAATTTAACAACACATCATGGTTTAATTAATATTAGTTTGCCAAAGTTTTGTCAATTTCCTATTCTTCCCTTGTAAATTTTATTTTCTCTATTCTGCTCATTTAATTTTCTCCAGAGAACTAAAGTTGAAAATATCTGTTGCCTTACTTTACAGTTACTCAGGCAACTGCCTTAAAGACAATGATTCAGTATTCTTATAAATTACACTCTGCATCACATTAGTTGTGTTTGTTTTTTTTCTTTTAAGTTTGCTTGTTCACCCATAAAGACCCACCTGCCCCAAATTCCATTATATGCACCCACTGTCAAGCTGGACTACAAGCCAAATACACTCTTAAAGAATTGTCCTGTTTTGTCCTGCAAGTTTAATCTGAAACAGTATACAAAGCTAATATATAGAGTGACTTCTAGGTGTATAACAGGACAAAGAAACAGTGAACATTACAATTTTAAACGCAATGCCTGAATCTATCAAACTAGACATTTCTTACACACACCATAACTCAATTTAAGTTACCTGGCAATAACTGTCCTGGACTCATTCACATTCACCAGAAAGCCATCGAGGAGTGGCACAAACATGTCTGCCACATCTGAGACAACCATCATTTGTGGCTGTGCCAACGAGCTCTTCACGTTGTAGAAGTGTAATACTTTGTTGTAAGTGACAAAGCCTACTCGAATGGCCGATTCCTCCATGTTGCCTTCCCTGTGAGAGACATATATCACATCTAAGTAGATGGTGAGTGAAATCATTATACAGGATAAGTAACTATTATTTATACAGCACAGTAAGGGATAAGGGAAAAATGAAAGGAAGGAAATCTGTTACAGCTAGAAAGTACTCTAAGATGTCCTGCTTGATCTCATTGTGAAAATAAGCTTCATAGGCTTTTTTCCAAGGGAGAAAGTAAGTTTCCTCCATTTGGACTGGATACAACAATTTACAATGTACCTTACCTGGGCAGATAATCTAGGATTGACTTTAATTCTTCACATATTAGTCTCACTAAGCCACTCTTCACAGCATTGTAAGACACATCAATCATGAAAATGAAAGCAGGTGGACTAGGAAACTTGTTATTCTGTGGAAGAGGGGGAAAGAAATCACATTAAGTTCATCTAATAGCTCTGTAACATGAACAAATGAATGCTGGCCCAAACTCTAATAACTTTCATGTACATTCCACCCATGAAAAGCAATTGTTTCTTCAGATCACTTTCTATCCCTGTCCAACTAACAAAGTTGGGTAAGGACTCTACGCTTGAAACAGATCAGTGTTACATGTCCCTGACAGATTTTGTTCAGTGAACAGCAGCATAACCACAACTCAGGACAGACAGTGAAAGTAGAGTGTGACATCTCCTGTAGTTTAAGACCCTGGAATTTGTCTAGGACTTGCTCTAGATGATTTCTTCAATACAGAGCAAAACATTTTCCTCCAGGAGCTGCAACCTTTCCCTTCTACTTACATATCAAGTCTACTTCGGGAAAAGAACAGCTTTCTGAAGTCTGTAGATCATATTGAAAGGAAAGCACATAGAAAAAAAGGAAACCAGAATTTTCACAAGAGCCAGGAAGACCACATCTCATTTGACTTAAAAATGTATCCTAAGCTGTTAATTGCAACATAATGGATTTTCCTTTCACTAAACCTGAAGCATCAAGAAGGTAACTAGTGTAGAATTGCAACATTTAGGTATCTATTTTTCTGAGTTTTAAGTTGCTTTAACATGCACTGCACAGATGTCACCCTCAGAAGTTAGTTAGGATTTAAGTCTTCAATCAGAAGTGAGATAGCTCTAATAATACGTATTTCCATTCTATTCTTGTGTTTTTAACAACTATGGCAGTAGCTGAAATTTAATTTCAACAGGTAAAGGTCATTTTCCGTACCAAGTGGCACATCATATCATCACTATTACTGCATTCTTCTTGAACCTCTTTTACCTTCTCCTTGTGCCCCAAAAAAATAGAGACACTTTCTCCTGCAGAATTGCTACGGTGACAAAACATATCCCAGCTGTAAGTGGTTATATAGCTCCAGAAGAGAATGACAGAGGCAGCTATAACAAAGTACTATTACAGTCATGGAAAAGTTGTTTTATATTTAAAAGCAAAATAAAAATACAATAATAAACACATACTGTACCTTGCAGTAGTCAACTGTTGCCAGAAACTCATATGAACCCAGTGATAACTCAGGTCGATCATAGAAATCTACTCGCTTTCCAGTATGATCCAAATGCTGGAAGTAGTGAGCTGGCACTGGGGGGAAAAAAGCAACTTCAGAGATGTGACCATGATAAACACTGCTGCTAGAGAGCTAACGTGACAACAGCTGGTTCAGATGAAACTTCAGGAAAACTAGCTAGTTTGCAAGCATTACAAGAATCACTGCTCCAATTCAAGAATGTCATTAAATCCAACAGATACAGATGAACTGCTTCTAGTTTGTCTTATGCACAAACTGGCACGCTGTATAGTCACCACTGTGCTTTTCTTCAATCTCCTTTACATTCTCATTTTACATTTCATATCAGAAAGATCACTGCAACATGCTCTTTGGGTTTTTCTGAAGGATTTAGTCCAAAGGAAAAAATACCAGTTCTTGTAAAAGCAGTAAAGAATGACTTGCAATAGAATCTGATGCAAACTGTAGGCTTCAATATTACTGATTCTGTTTAGGCATACCAAAAACTGAGCTGCTCCTTTTGCTATGAGTTACTCAAACCACTCAAAATTTCATCAGTTCAAAACAAAGTGATACCATTAAAACTGTGTATATATAAAAAAAGAGATCACTCTCTACTCTCCAAGTATACACTCAGTACAAGCTGGTTTTTTTTTTCTGTTTTTTTTTTTTAATGCTGAAAATAGGGATTGTTCTGAAGTATTAGGTACAACTACATTATACTTCCACAGCATTTCTTTCATTGGCTGCCTCTGAGCTTCCTTCCCTTTTCTAGTTGCTCAGTTGTTGCAGGTACAGCCATTCTTAAAGCTGCTGAGTGCACAGTGTCAGAGAATGCACATGGGCTATGAAAAATCACCATAAAAGTTTCTCTTGTTTGTTTCTTAAACCAGCCATTTCCAGCCTCAGCCAACTTCCTATTTTGGTTTGCCATGGACATGTTATGCAGAGTAACTGAGGTGATGAGAACAAAAGCCAGCAGTGCTACCAAATGAAACCCTCAAAACCAATGCTGCTGCACCCTGCATTTCCACTGTCCACACAAAACAAACCCACAGATGCCAGCCCACAAACAGCACACAGCCGCTTCTGCTTAAGAGGGAACGTGCTTTATATTGATTTAGAACAACAACAAATACTGACTGGCATATACTGAACACTCCTATCCAGCCACAGCAGATCTATCTGCAATCTCACCTCCAAATAGTGTCCAAAGAGGCTTTGCAAGAAAAAAAATCCTAATTCATGCTACTGTCTGAAGGTTAATCTCAGTACCATAAATAATTTCTCAAAACGCTATACATCATGCCACAAGTATTTCATGTTCCAAAGTTGCAGCAATAATGCTGCAACGAATAAGCACCTACTTAATTTGAGCATCATTTCTGAACTGAATATTGAACTTTTTATTTGGGGGGGGGGGGGGGGAGGGGGGGAGGTGAGGGAGTTGGTGGTTGTTTTCCCAAAAGTAGATATGCTAAAGCACAGCATACATTACAAATCACTGTAACACAATTAAGATTCATTGCTTTGAATCTTGTTCAAAGATCAATAGTGCCCAGAGTCTGGTTTTCAGAAGAAACCTTACCCTCAGTGACACAGCTGCAGAAACAGCACTGGAACCTCCTTCCGCCCTCAATAAACTGCATAAAAGGGCACATGTAGGCCTTGCACCTATTGCATCGGACAGGACCAGATTCTCCATGGTCCACCAAATAAGGAAGGGTCTGTGCAAGCAGGGAAAATAAAAAGAAAGGTCATATGATTACAAATAAAATCGACCACACATACTGCAGAGCTTAAAACAATTTCCCTGTACATTGTACAGGATTTAGCATTTCAGCAGCTGTGGGAGAGAACACAGAGGAAGCCTGAACAAGTATTTCAAAAATGTTTTTCAACTCAATCTCTCAACACAGCAGTTCCCTTGTGGGCTGCAGTCACTAATGGGCTATCCTACTTTGACACAAACAAGTACTGCTGCATGGTCCTGCACTACCTTATATAGTAGCTTGCTTGAAGAGCAGGAGTGCCACACTCACAGCATGAATGGATCTCAGATGAACACAGAAGACTGAAGTTATGCAAATAACAGCTGTGATAACTTCACAGGAGTAAGCACAATTTTATTTTTTACTTCTTGTTTTTTAAAAATAATTCTCTACCTCTTATATTTCCCCTTCACAAAGAGCAAGATTAAAAAAGTAGAAGTCAGTGATTGCATTCCACATATTTAAGAATTTAAAGCATCTAAACTAACTTCAAAACTCTAAACTGATCACATTCATTCTTGAAGATCACCATGAATTGAAGCATATCTGTCAGTTTTGCTTGCCCTGACCCCATTATATAGCAAGTCCTTTAAAACTGCTGTGTAGCAAACCATTTTTAAACCATCACTGACAAAACAACGTGTTTGTGGTCAAAACAGATCAAGATGTTTGGCAACCTGTGCAGCTTCTCAGTCACAGAATGAGGAAGACTCCCTGTAGAACGATTAATAAATTTTGGAAGCTATGATCTGTATTCACAGTTTACCATACCTTTCAAAATAATCAAGAATCTAGCACAGTAGGTGTAACTGCTTACTTTTAACTTACATGACACTAATGGTGTCCCAATTTACATTCTTTCAGTCTCCCTAAACCTCTCACTTTTCTTGTACAAGAACATATTTTATGAGCATGAGTCGAACAAACAACACAAGCACTTTCTTCCTCTTCATGACACAGACCCTGCTCTCATTCAACTCCAGGGGTCGTTTATTGATGATACAATGGCTCTGTGACCAGTTTCCCAGATCCTACACAGGCTGACCTCCTCTCAGGAAACCAGATTTCAAGTTTTATTATTGCCAGCAATGTTGGTATTGCGCTTCCAAAGCCTTTTCTTCAGCCTCTGTCCACCCAAAAATGCAAGGGTGCTGTAACCATGTCTTACTCTATATAACTTGTTATTAACCACTTATTCCCAGAAGGCAGAGTTTCTTCTTATGGTGTCTTAAGATTTGCTATGTAAACTGTGCATTAGCACAGGACAAAGGCTGTGTAATTTCACAATCAGGTCCTGTATTTTGCAGATCCTAGATTTATCCAAACACTGCATTCTCACCAGTCTTACGTATCCTCTCACTACTGATACGTTAAGCTTTAGCTTTATTTACAGTCTTACTCCTCTGAACAGCTGAGCCTTCATGTGTCATAACGGCCCCCTTCATAGGGAGCTTGCCCTTGTCATAAATAACTTTCCAGTGATGGAAGCTAACCAGTCTCCAGAACAATTTTCTGATCCTAGATGAGTTTTTTTTCCCCTAGGTATCAGAAGTGTTTGTCCAAAGCCTAAATACACCATAAAGCTGTTAAGCAGTGGTTTGTAACTAAAAGGAGCACAAGAGGTGAATGCCATCCTGTTAGAGAAACCTGCAGGCACAACAAGACAGCATTCACTTCTTGTGCTCCTTTTAAACCTCACTGAAATGCAGGCATTAATTTCACAATTCAGCTTTATCACAAATCAATTTTCAAAATCTAAATAACAGTTTAGGAAGATTAATAAAATGAAATAATCCCTACCCTTAAACTCCAGAGGACATTCCTTGCCTTAGGAACTTGCTAAAGTTAAGTTTAACAAGGCACAGAATACTGCAAATTTAGATTAAAACTTCACAAGTTTATTTATTTGTCTTTATGTCACTGCTCTAAGTAAGCTAATGCTACACAGTAACCACAGTATTTGTAATATTTTTAATACAGTTTCTAGCTCCAATATTGTTGGAGCTTTTATCTCCCCAGATGGAGTGGGTAGAAGAGGTAACCAGTCACTTATTACAGCTAGAAGAAAGGGCTGCACAGAATGAATGCAGAAATTCAAGCACAGTTCAGCAGAACCCAGTGCTCAGTCTTGCACTGTCAATTAATCCACACAGTGCTGTGCATGTACACAACATTAGCTTAATGAGTGCTACTTGATACACTCTCATCCAATTCCACAACTTGATACCCCAGGCAACACTTAATGTCAGTGATCAGTAACAATCTAAATATCACAGGCCAAGAAAGAAATTGAAATAATTGCAAGTGCATGCATTTGTTAACATCCTAGCATTCTGGTCATTTGGTCAGAGTAATGCTTGACACTTACTATAAAAAAAATAGCAGAAATTAGCATGGCAATCAAAATACTAAACATTTTGAACACAACACTTTTCTGCTTCTCTATCGCATATTTACGGAACAAGCAACATCTACCCAGCTCTCCTTACTTAAACACATCTACTGCTGAAATTTAAACAAGGCATCTGTTCAACGTGAACAAGGAACGACACTCCCCTGACAAGTTCAGACAGCATACAGTACATGTGTAACTGCATACAGTTCTCACCTCCTCTGGGGGTAGAGTAGCAAGCGGCTTTATGACAGCAGCTAGAGGAACCTGGGACTGTTTGGCCATATCTGAGGTGCAGGGAATATTGTAAGACGTGCATCGTATATAACGGGGGCTTGCGTTACCTGGAGAACAAAGGAACAAATCCTGACAAATTTCAGAACAAGTTTATATTCAAGAACAGAAATCAAGATAGCTTCAGCTGTGCTGAAGACTATTTCTCTATAAATGGAATTTGATCCTCAAAATATATAATACTTGCTTCAATAAATATTTCTGCTGTGATCATCATTTTGCACGTGCAAATTTCTGGTTTCTCAGCTTCACTTAGTTGGTCAGAGGATATCTTGATGACCATCAGTGTGCTTTGAGATTCATTTATATCAAGTACACTTTAAGATTGTACTTGAGGTTTTAAAATACGGATGATATTCTGCAAAAAACATCTATTAGAAAACACTGGACTGAGTGAACAGAGGATCATACATCTTCATTAAAGCTTTGACAAAAGGAAGGAGACAACATCCCTATTTTCCTTTGATAAAAAGAAATAAAACACAGTTCCTAGTTTCATATGCAACTGCATATTTTAATGTTATGTACTTAAATCCCACATGAAATTCATTCTTTACCGATTCTTGTGCAGTGAAATTTCACATTACAAACAAGCAGGTGGACACAGACACATGCCCAGCAAACAAATTTACCCTTCTTTCTGCACTACAGAATCACCAAGTGAAAGAATGAATATCCTGACTTGGAAGGAAACCACAAGAATTACATAAACTTAATTCCATAATTACTTAACACTCAATTCCAAACTGAATGCATCTTTATGATTAACACTGCATAATATAAGCCCCAAAAATCAAACCAAGCAAATTTGACTCCACCTAAGCCTCAAATTTAAACCTCTAAAAAAATTACTGTTCCATTCTTTCTGCAGAGTAAATCACAGTATGGGCAAAAATCTCAACTCGGACATTCCTAATTCTTATTTTTTCCCAAGTCCGGTTGAGAAGAGAAGCACCCAACCATGGAGTTGGACTCTGAAGTTTTAAGGGAGTTTAAAAACTCCAAAAAAGTGTAGGAAATAAAGTTGGAATATTCTTTCTCTATGAAATCCATGGACCAAATGACATCCCACTTATATGCTGTTTTCAGATGAATTCCAACAATATTGCTGGTAAATTTCAATTCTGAGCTATCACGATATAGTTCCACAGAAAAAGCTTCACCTGCTGCTTATGCTGCTCCCAGGAACGTGCCCTGGGAAACATTTTTTGGCTGTGGATTGGTCATTTTACCTTGATCCTTGACCAGGAAATTGGTAGTAACGAGAGGTGGGACCTGCCCTCTCACTCCAGTGACAAATGGTTCTGATCCACGGTTACTTCTGTCATCTTCAATCACTTGGATCTACAATGGAAAACATTGAGTTAATCTTTGGAGTCTTGGATAACCAAAAATTTGCATCTGCAAGGCAGTGGAAAGGGAACCTGAGGCAAACGTCACTAGCTCTAAAAAAGTAACAAGTCTAAAGCAAATAAGTTTTACCAAGCAGTCACCTCTCAGCTGGATTTCAGGTAATATTGAATGACTAACAAATAACATTGAAGTTACACAATTTTCCCAAGTATTTTGAACAGTAGTATACTTTGTGTGCTATGATCTGATCTGAACTCAAGAAAGAAATTTAGATCAAGAAAGGAACTTTTGCTAGTACTCCTTTTTTACTGATCTTAGCCAAATTAAAATCAGAAGCTTATTTTAGTCTCAGGCTGAAGCTGTACAGATGACCTGGCTTTTCCTTGCTGTTACGTTCATGGTGCTTTTTGGAGATGCGGAAAGTGAAGTTTCGATAGAGAGTTATCAATGATTCAGGCTTAAACTTCACAAAACAAGTGAAAGTTTTCATTTTTATTAGAATTACAATTTTGAAATTAATACAAATGTACTACAGAGAACAGAAAAGCACTGAACAGTTTTAATTGACTCAAATACCTGTTGAACTTTGCATAAGAACAGAAGATTGTTCTTACATAGTTTTAATTACCTTTACTATATTGGTGCTTGAATCAAAAATTAAAACTAGCAATTCTTCTGATCTCATTCTGCCACCACCTGTATCTTTGATTAAACTGTGAAATGTGGAACTGTGCACAGCAGAACTTCCACTCTTTCAGTACAGATTCCAAGTTGCCACAAAAAACACCACCCACAGCATCAGACTTCTCTCACTTAAATCGAGTTCCATCTCAAAAGTCTACAGACTGATTGACATCGATGACCTCACAGCTTGTAGCTATTCTATGACCAAATTTAGCTAAACAAGGAAGAACTGGTACAAGGGTAATTGTTTTTAGTCCTTCCAGCACAAAAGGTAGCTGCTTTGTCTTCAGATGAATTTCTCAAGACACAACCATTGTATTTCCAAATTCAAAATATAATGGTTACAAATTAGCACAGATAATGAAAGAATGTTTCTAGCTCCCCATGCTTCATAGTAGTCAACTAGAAGATTTACATCAGCAAGTAACATCAAAAGAAAACAGTGTTTCCTCACTTGTAGCAGTTCAAAGCATTAGCCCAGTATTGCTATCAACAAGAACTGTAACCAAATTCTGCTCAGAAATGGTAAAAGACATGGCTACAAAGGCTCATAAGGTGTGCATGTTAACATGGAACACACTACACGGACAATTGCACTGATGACTTAACACTTAAAATGCCATGTAATCTGTATTTTAAGGAACAGATAAAGTGAAGGGGAGACATTCTTCATGATCTGCTTCTGAAACAGTCTACTTTCTATTGCCTCACCAAACATCACAGAAGAGACTTTAACAACCTCTCGTGGTGTTATACTCATTTTCATAAGGCAAGCAGGACATAGCAAGGAAAGGAGATAGGATTAGTGATGAAGGGTTAATGAGGTGAAGTTCAGGTTCCATGCATGCACAGATGGTCACCAACACAGACCACAGTTGACATATATATAGCACTTACTGGACTAGGAATTGCATCTGGGTCTATTCTGTGTCTGGGTTTCTGCTGGGGTGGCAGCTCATTAAGTTGCTTTTTTAAAAAAATATGCATATAAATAAAAAGTAAAGAGTGCCACCAAAAAAAAAAAAAAAAAAGAAAGAAAAAGAAAGGGAAGAGAATAATAAAACAAAAAGTAACAATGTTACTTCTCTCTACTCAAACTCGAAGCACTGCAATTAGATATATTTGGACATTCACTCATGCAACAAGAAACACATCAGCTTCTGCAACGTACACCAACCCCAAAGTCAGTATTGCTGCGATACTGAGACACACTGCTATCAGATGTAGTAGCTCACGTGCTCATTTTGGTTAGAAATTGGGAATTTATGTTTCAAGAACATGCTGAAATGAAGGTAACTGATAAAAGCCATCTGAGATCTCATTTAGTGGGGAAAAAAAGCTGACAAGCATTATACATTCTTATTCTCGATGAAAAAAATTAGTCCTAAGCCTCATATAAACCTGAAGTCTAAATAGATCATCTTTTTTGAAAGCAGTAACTTCTGAATAACAGCAATAAAGATCTCAGCTGTAATTCAAAACGAAATTCTTTTTAGAGTTTTTAAGAACCAGTTGTAATCACTGCTATGGAAAAGTTTCCTGTTACCAAACAGTTGCGGCCTTCTGAGACAGTAACAGCACCAGGAGCTGTGGAAGGAAAGCATAGCAGACCAGTGGCAATAGCACATCCAGGCTTAGTGTTACACATCACTGCTAGCCACTGCACACCATCGCTCGTCTTTTCCTCAGAACCTCCATTTCAAAAGATAATCCTAATTTGTGAAGCTGTCCATGTTTGATTGAAGTAGCATCCTGACTTTATGATCCAAAGAAAACTAACCAGGCAATAGGAAAAGAAAAAACATTACAATCATCTCCTGCGAACCTTAGTTCAAGCTTCGATCATGCAGTTCATAGATTGCTACCTACTAGCAGTTAGTTCACCTTGGAAAGTAATTAAGTTAGAATTCAGAAATGATGAAGCTTAATCTAAGCCCTCAAGGATTCCTAAAATGTAACATAGTACCAAAAAAGCCCTGAGGAATTAAAGCAGGGATACGTATACACAGTGTCTTTCTCCAGTTGTCAAGGGAAAAAGTGCTTCTGGGCTTACTCATAACGAGTGACAGAAGCTGGATATAATAGAGAAAAGAAAGCAGGAAAAAAAAGACTGTTGCTCTTTGGAACAAGAAACCTGCTTTCAGCTTTGGTTTCTGTCAGTTTTGTTTAGAGTAAAGACACTACAGAAAAGTTCACACTTAAGAACAAAGTAAGCTTACAGGGCTAGGAATTGAATCTGGATCCAAGCGTTTTGGTGGTGGTGGTCCAGGCTGACTTCCATAATTTGGTGTGCCTGGATAGGCTCCGCCATAGTTTGGCTGGGGGGCCCTCACCTGTCCAAAGGAACCTTGCAAGAAAGGAACAATAAATTAAATAACTGCTAACATAAGGCAGTTCCTCATTAGGCACTTCCCATTCATTCTGTCATCATAAAAATAACAAGAATCCTACACGCTTTCCAGATAATTAGGATTAAATTTTTTCTCAGTATTTTAGCTCAGTATATCTCAACCAGTGATTCAGTAAGCTGACAAAGCCCTCCTTAAAATCAGACTTAAAGAAACATGGTTAAGACCAACATAACTGTTTTCAAAATAACAGGATTAAAATATGTATTAAGATGTGTACTGTCAACATTCTGCAGAACTGCCTAAAAAAAATTACACACAGAACAGACAGAGAGTTAGTGGATGACCCCACAGTGCCATAAACTACAGTTGTGCAAAGAACTCTCAGGTAGTTTTGACTTGCCTGAAGTCACAGTAATAGGTTAATGTACGGTAACTTCTTCTGTTTTTTTTTTGTTTTGTTTTGTTTTTTAAACTTCATGAGGTCATTTCATATCACTGGATTAAAACCCGTAAAACAAATAGCTTAGAATGGTAAATACTACTGTTTATCTTGGATTTGTCCTTTATCAGAGAGAAACAAGAGCAAAGCTTTGAACTCTAGCCAGAAGTTTCCAAGTTACAAACCTGCAATCCATTTCTCTGTAGCACACAGAGAATACATCTAACAAACAACTTCTACTTTAGGAACACTCACCGTTCTGCTGCATTTGGTATCCTGGCTGAGGAGGATGAGTGGGTGGAGGTGGTCCATGAAGGCCACTCATGGGAAGCCCTGGTTGAGGCCCTGACAGAGTTGATGGGGGTGGTGGTGAGGACACATGATTAGGCTGGGACATCGGTGGTCCAGCAACTGTCTGCCCAGACAGCGGTGGGCCGGGCATGGGAGGCAGCCTTGGGGCACCTGTGGAAGGAGGGTAAGAGGAAGGTCCAATCCCCGTAGAAGACGGAGGCGGAGCAAAACCAGGGACTTCAGTAGGTAAGCGCTGAGTTGGAACTGGTTGACCAGAAAAGGGAGGCTGTGCCAAAGGAAGACCCTGAGGCACACTGGGAGGAGGGGGTCCTTGGCTCGCAGTGTACGGTGTGTAGAGACCAGATCCTGTTGCACTGAAGCTCCCTGAGACCGGGGGAACCGATGTTGGGGGACCTAATAAGAAAACACATTACTATCATTTTTTTTCCTTCCTGGTTTCCTCTAGAAAATTAATTCCAAACTCAAAACAATTCAAACAGTACTCCTTCACTCACAATTATCTAAACCGATCTACCGCTTTCACCTTCAGATGGACATTCCAGTACCAACATAAAAACCTTAAGTGAACATTACTCTAAGGGATCTGAAAACTCTCCCCTTCCTTATTATTATTATTTTTTGACGGAGCTGAGTGACAAGGAATGCAGACTCTCAGCTCGATACATGTAGATGTTTCTGTGTGTCACACACAGATTCATTTACTAATACGATTAAAGAATATAACAATATTCCTCCTTGTGTCCTGTAATACTTCCTGCACTGACTCCTGCAGTAATATCAGCTCTTTTTTCCCCAGTGATGATATCACCAGCCAAGGAAACTACTGTTTACAATGGCAGATATCAACATTCAGATAATCTCCATCAACATATGGCAATGAATCATTGACAAGAGCAAAACTTAATAAATAACTAGCACAAATTGAAAGCAATCACATATTTCTACAGCCAGAAAACCTCACCATATCCCAGTCCAGCTGGGGGAGGAGCAGAGATTGAAGTACTGCCAATTGTCATCCCTGCCATGTGATTGCTGAGTTGCTGTACACTGGATGGAGGGGGACCATATTGCTGGAACGTAGATGGCTGGCTGACAGGCGCAGGTGCTGAGCCTGGCAGGAACGGCTGAGAAGCAGGCGGCCTGAGAAGGGGAGAGGAGAAATTTCACTGATATTCCTTATGCAAACAGTTACAGCTCTCCATGCCATTAAAAAGTTGTTCTAGCATATAAATACTAGACAATAATTTACATGAAGTATAAATTAAGCACTGTTGCTAAGTTTCTTAAAAATAATTACGTACACCCCACACAGATCTGAATCTTTTTCATCAAAAATCTGTTGGTTCCTAAAACACAAATTCTATGTCTAAAACTAATTAAATTTTCTGTTAATTCCATTTCAGTTCATGCTGTCAAGGAACCAAACACATCTAGTACTTGGAAGCAATTGTTTCCAAACAAGACAGATTCTGGCAACCAGGAAATTATTTATGGAAAAAGAAAAACTTTGGAGAAGTGGTTATGATTAGTCAACTGATGTCTATACATATAACACAGGTGCATTAAAAAGCACAAGGCAGAGGTCAGGGGAGGCGATCCTCCTTTACTTCACCCTGGTGAGGCCACATCTGGAATAGTGTGTCCAGTTCTGGAGTCCCCAGTTCAAAAAAGACAGGGATCTCCTAGAAAGAGTCCAGTGGAGGGCAACAAAGATGATGAAGGGCCTCTCCTGTACAAGGAAAGGCTGAGAGAACTGGGACTCCTCAGACCAGAAAAGATTTGCTAAAAATTGCTAAGAGAGGATCTCATAACTATTTATAAATTTTGAAGTGCAGAAGGTCAAGTTGATGCGAGTGGACTTCAGTGGCAAGCAATGACAGAACAGAAAGAAGCAGGCAGAAACTGCAACACAGGAAGTTCCATACTAACACAAAGAAAAAATTATTTACTGTCAGAGTGGCAGAGCACTGGAACAGAGAGGGCAATAAGATACAAAAAAAAGTCAGCATCCACCACGGCAAAAACAAAGGATCTAAAGCAAAGTAAATGCCAAATGGCTGAGACCTAGCATTAAGATTTTCTCTTCTTGTATATACCTCTGCATTGGTGCTGTTGAGGTTGGGATCCCATTCTGCACATCTCCTTGTCCAAACTGACTGTACCCCTGGTGGCCAGAAGGAAGAGATGTTCCACTGGCTGGAGGGGGAGCTCCAGAAGTTGGAAGGGCTCTGACTGAACCTACAGAAAAAAAACAAAAACCCAAATTATTCACAGTAATAAGAACTTGAAATAGCTACCAAGAAAAATCAAGGGAGGAAAAAAGTGAAAAAGTTTGGATGGCCAAATTAATGTATCAGTACTCTCTCAGCAGCAAGTTATTTATGCAACTATGTTAGTAGCAGCAAAACTGAAAACAAATATTTTAGCCATTGTCACTAGTCACATCTCCACACAGATTAAATACAAAATAGGCACTGTGGAAGACCTTCAAAAGACATCTTTATTTTTTTTATAAGAAAACATCTGTTTTCTTATCAGAAAGATGTTAAGTTCCTCCCCCTTAATATCTAATTGTTTTTATCTGCAGGAAGGAGAGTATTTACATAAACCTAGCATTCATTATGGGTTAGTTTTCCCATCTTGAAGACTAAGTGTAATGTGAGTAGATTCAGTTTTGAAAAATTACACTCTACTGGCTGTTTTTATGCCCAGCCTAGCAAGGACCATCACAGGCTATTCTTCCAGCCTCTTAAGCTTGGAGAGTAGCAGGAATACTTTCTAGTTTTTCAAAGTAAGCTGCTTCCTATAGCATCTACTAAAAAAAAAAAAAGAATATTAGCTTCTATTTGATTAAGATTATATTAAAAGCTCTGATAATTAGAACTATATGACTGCGCCTGCAAACTACAACTACAGTTTTACAGTTGTTTTTTTTTCAGCTTTACCAGGCACACAACTTGAGAAATGCATCTTTAATTCCAAAAAAAACCCAAAAACCAACTGAGAAATCTTATTTTTCCTAATCCTTCTCATAAATACACTTCTCTAACCATTAGCACAGGCTGCTCAAATAGCCACTGAAAAAAAATTACTTGAAGGGATATGAATATCTAGTGGTTTGTTCACCTTAAGATTCATTTTTCTTGAGGAACCTTTAAGACCCTCTTCAATACCTTTGAGATACTGTCCTTACTCATCACAGACCTCAAAATAGAGGCAGACTGCAGGACAATGGGAAGTGACAGCAATTTTATTCAAAGTCCTGAGATTACATGAACTTGGCCCAGCTCTGACTGCCTACTCTTCTTAACAAAGACACTGATGGAAATAGCTCTTCCAACATACCCTTCTTATCAGGGTAAAAAGAAATTTTTTCCCTTATTTTAGGGAAAAATACAACATGATTTCTTGCAATGTTTCTAATTCCTGCATCTTCATTGCTGACTTAACAAAAATATTTCCTTATTCAAGCATCAGCTTTCAGAATTAGAATTATTCCTAGCAAATAGGACTTTTATGCTATATTCAAGAAGGCTAAAAGTTTTTTCCTTAAATGAAAATCCAAGTTATAAAAATCCTTTCACTTCTAAGGCCAAATTCCTGGTGGCTGGGGAGGTTTTTTTTTGGCTGGTTGTTTTTCAGCGTTGTTTGTTTTGTATTTCTTCACTGCAATGCTTTTATTTCAGACCTCATATTTTAATTCTTTCCCAAAGGGAATAGGATTTGTTTGTTTGCTTGTTGCATTTAAAGAAAAAAAATTAAGGCTTCTTCCTACCAGAACTCTCTGGGCCAATTCAGGTTTCGAAACGAGCCTTCTCAAAACATCAGTCACAAGTCAGTTTCTATCTACGAATCTGCAGATATAAGGGATTTACACTACAACTATTTCTTCATATCGTATTTGTGTTTCTGGAACGCTGCTGACAAACAGCGTAGGAAGCACCCCATCTACCTCTGCCTGAATAACTGAATACCCACACCCTTGAGACACAAACCCTGCTGAACTGGAATGTGGCACAGAAGATGGTTAAGAGAACCACCCCTTCCCCACAGTAGGAGTGGCACAGCACAAACGCTCCCACATTTACCTATGAAATTAGGTGCAAGAGAAGTGTCAGAGTTGAGAGAAACAGGAGAGCCCTTCGAAGGGAACCCCAAGGAAGGAAAATAACCTGGAAAGACAGAATACCAGTAAATCAAGCCTGAGAGAAAGCACCAAGACAGTGTTTCCAATCTTAAGGACAGTCTGCTGTGCAGAAAGTATCACGTACGTAAAAACCCATGTCGCATTTACTGCTTCTTTCTTATTCTCCCTCTCACTGTTCCGCCGTCCATAACGCACATTACCAACACAGCTCATACATTAACATGAATACAAATGTAAATATTGTGAACAAAGTCTAAGCATAATAATCCAAAAGCAACCTAATTGTTACTGGTAGACAGACAATTGTATTTGTACTTTCAACTGCATGATCTCATTAGAAGCAAAAAGCTGATTGCAGGAGTGAAAGACTGATGCAAAATTATCCTGGTTCTTTCAGCGTTTTTACTGTGTGAAGAAGCTATGCTCAGCTAACAGTGCAGTATTCCACTTCTGCTTCTAAGCAAGTTCTCAGCTTCTGGCACAACATTTCCATGTTTCTATCAGTTAGAGCTAGGGTTTGTCATATAGGTCAGATGCAAAGTTTCTCTGACCAAGGATGGCAAACACTGCCAATACTTCTCCAGTCAGTTTTCCAAGCACTTTTTACTTATTATTTTTCAAACACATCCTTAAGACGACTACATTGATACCACAGAGTAACATCAGCAGTTCTCCTTTCATCCCTCAGTGCTCTCAATGCCTGTCACTCTAGCATCTCTGAATTAAATTCTCTCCCCTCTACATAATACGGTTACAACAGGCCTTGCTGCCAAGACTCATAACAAACACCACGACGAAGACAGCAAAGATGGAGACGGAGACTTTTTTCTCTATCGCCTATCTGCTCTGTTAGTGCACCATATGTGTATGTCACTCTCTTCTACCTGGATCTCATTTAGCACCTACTAGCAAGTTAACTTCTGGCTGCTACGCTTATGCTCTGCATTTTACATTCCCTCCCTCTAAAGACAGAAATCCTGAATTTGCAAGAGCAGGTATGAGATGTGCGCCCTGACAAGATTTCCTTTGTGCAGTCTGTTAAGGATTTTTCTCCTATCTTTAAGAAGGGAGGTCTTATAAGAACAAAACAAACACAAGAGGCATCTCCACAAACCACAAGTGGCCCTTCCCCAAGACGCTGCCGATGGACATAAGGACTGCAGTATGTCTCTGTTGTCCAACATGTTGCCATCAGTGTCACGCTACCACTCAATCGCTGCTGGTGCACAAATACCAGACTGTTTTTAATTTGCAAAGGTTTATATGTATATTAGAGGATTTTTAGGCACATTCTTACTGATCAGTCATGAATGACATTTCTGCTGCTCTGAAATTAAAAAAGCCAAAGTAAACAATTCCAAAGAAAACCAGCTAATTTCCTTAAAATTAAATGCCTTTCAATCTTGCAAGTAATTTTTGATGGAAAAAGCTCACTCGTTTCTTTTCACAAAGATCCTAAAGATTCTTCACACTACTGTCAGTCAGAACTTGTTTGTTCTAAAGAGCAAAGCAGACAAAGCTCTACCAACAGATCTACACTCTTTGCCCTTTTTGAATCTCCTCTCTCTCACTGAATTAAGCCCAGTTCCTCCCCATTCCTTTCATGCAGCGGAAAATACTAGTTAGCTGATGCATACACTGAGCAGCAAATGTGCCCAAAGCTCTGTCTTGAGCACTCCCAGGAAGCAGGGCTTCTTTCTGCCTCACACGGCTGATTTTCATAGCTTTTATAAAAATTTAAACCCTCCATGAAATTAGTTCAAAGCTCATTCATTAAAAGTGATGCTGAAGGAGATTTCCTAGGAAGAGGGGAAGAGGATTAAGGAAAGAAGAGGAAGATGGAACAAAACTGAATAATCCAGTTCTTCAGCATACCACATGCTCCTCTTCTACTCCACTACTGTGCTAACTCCAGCCAAAATAAACAGCAGGGGAACCATTCAGCTCCCCCTGGAAGTCTCTTTCTCAGGACATGTATTTCAGTCTCCCACTTCTGCCAGTTTCAGTAAGACAGAGGGTATTTTGATTGCTCTATTTGTCTCATCAAGTCTGGCTGAAATTCCACTTTGCAAAAAAATTCGAAGCGTTTTTATAAGGGCAACGACACAGAGATCATTAACATGACCAGTATATTGCTCATTTCCTTAGGAAAACAGTCCAAAATCTAAAACCTTTCAGAGTGAAAGTCTGTGTTGTGCTTACCCTGGTGGACCTGAATTCATCTGTATCATTTTAAGAGGTAGATATACTTCTTCTCAAAGCTATAGTATTTTATCTTCTACAACATTACTGATGCTAAGGCCACTATTCATCTCCCAGTAGAATTTGGGTACTCTAAATTTATAAAAATTTGAGGATATTTTGTTTTTATGTTAGACTTGCATTTGAGTACAGAAAGAAAAAAGAATCGAACTATTTTGTTAAAGAAAAAATACACAAGCTTAGGCTTATTTTGCCATTCTAAAAAAAACTGACATGATCCTGCAGAACCAGGAGAATTCTGGACTACATTAGCATACCCACACATCCATAAACTTTCTGCTGCTTTTAAAGATAGTGAAGAAGCTAGTTCCAAACATGCTTCCTATCTAAAGTTATATATTTTAATCCTTTGAGACAGAGCACAGACCCTGCTATGCAGTAATGTAAAGCAGCCTCTGCTACAAATCTGTTACAGTCTCTCACTGCTGCCCTCAACATAACCTCTTCAGGAATACTACCCCATTGGGTTGCTTCAGTACCATGGGGGCAGGGACACACAAAAAGAAAGTAGTCTCAAAAGAAAGTGAGCTATTAAGAGAAGAGTAAGCCCTACTGAGTCAAACAAGTGACAGGAATAATCTGAGCACATACAGAAAGAACATGATTCTTAACATCACATAAGCTGTGTGCAGAAGATAACTGCTATCAAGAAACAGAAATGCAGCGATAGGAAACAAACAAAAATTCTGTAAACGCAATAATTCACAGATTACCAATCGTGATGTTTTGGTTGAGAAGTACCTTGTGGAGGGACTGGCTGTTGGTATCCTGGCATCGGACCATTATAAGCTCCATACTGTGCGTGAGGAACCCCTGGCAATGGCTGTCCTCCGTAGGCAGGCTGCTGGTAGCCCTGATATCCAGGCTGAGGTTGCCCATAAGGAGGCCCCGCGTGAGTATGCTGGTTTACACTCATTGTATTCACATCCCCAAACTAATTTCACCTGCAAAAAGTGGAGGGGGGAAGGAAATGGCTTTTAGAAGACATAAAACCAAACCAGCCAATTTCTCTACTGCTTTCACAGAAATTAGAGATCCTGAGATACTACAGAAGTTAACACTTCAGCAGTAATTTGCTCTTGCACATTTTTTATGGTAAACGCTTTACAAAAACTAGCTAGAAAACAATAATCTAATAAACTGTTTCCAATCAATCCACTCATTCACTGTTCTGTTCTAGTTAGACTTGTGGTCAGCTTCTTAGCAAAAAAAATCTCACAATTTGCCACTCCAAAGCAGAATTACGAATCTTCCTGAGACACTTCATGAATTGTTTCCCCCTTCAAAGAGCACCTTCATGTTACCCTCCAACCAAAGCTATTCTGTGATCCTATAACAAACAAACAAGACTCAGAAAACAACTTAGATGAGAGATTCCTTAACGTAACACTTCACTAATACTCCACAAGTTTATCTTTAAGATCCATGCTGTGCTACTAGCTCATGCTTCCTTGCTGTAAGTGACACACAAATCAGTACCACACAGTCTGCTTCTTGAACTGTTTGAAAGAAACCAGAAGAGACAACAAAGGATTTGAGGGCTTTGCTTTATTTTTTAACAGTTAATGACTTAAAGTCCTTGCTGTACACATAAATTTCAGAAAGCTCAAGTACTCCACAAGCAGCATGCTCATTTAAGACAGATGTTCAAAATGGGAAAGCGTCAGAGGCTGAAGCATCACTGTGGGAGCTTTATGAAAGGGAAAGAATGGAAACAGTGTCAGAGACAGGAAGTTCCTCAGAAAAGCTGTGCAAGAGACCTTCTAATAGATGTACTCCCAACTCCTCTAACTTTATAGAGACAAAACCACAAATGACATTGGAGTCCCCAGATCAAGGAGGCAGTTTTTAGAATACCACGGTAGCCAGCAGGCAGATAAACCACAGAGCCAAGCAGATGACTTCATTGAAAGGAGCTTCCCTCATGGTCTACTTCTCAGAGATACTTTGCAGCCCCTGGGCTCCTTCAGACACTCCATATGTCACTTACTATCCCCTTCAGGTAAAACTGCATCCACAGTAACAATGTACACAAACATGTGTTCCCAGAGTTATTGAAAGACCACAGTTCACACAAAAATGCAAAGTTAAGGTAAAGCAAGTAACTAATTTTCCCTTCATTTTTCCCCAAATCCCACGATGAACTCCCTCATTGAAAATAAATATCACATCTTAACACAGAGGAGACAAATACAGCTGCAACAGTTGAGTTAAATCCCAACACAGAATCTACAGCTTAACTCAAGCGGATAATAAATACCTGAGCTCTTTTGCTTATTCATTGAATACAGCATGCCACCTAACGCTATGGCTGCATTATCAGAAAGATGACATCAAAGCAGTATTTCAACAACTGGCACTACAGTTACACACAAACAGTACTAAAATAACTGCAGTCCTGTGTGAACCATCCACATACAAATAAATTCTTTCATGGCCAAACAGGGAGAACACATATCACAACAGAATGATCTGCTTGGTTACAGAAGACAGCTAGCTTAATACATGCATACCATGTTTATCTCCTCTAGCTAAGCAGTAACATTAATGCTCAGCATGCAAATGCTTACTCTGAAAATTACATGAAATGAATGAAGTTTCATATTTCTATTTTTCAAGCTGTGTAGAGCTTTTGTTTAGGGGAAAAAAAAAAGTCTTCTCTTAAATCCTTGAAAGTAATTTGCTGTTGAGAGTAACATACAGCGTCACTTACAAAAGCATGACAGTAGTTCTGATCAGTCCACAATGTTTCCAAACACAACAACAGTGAGCAAGAGGGTCAGTGCCATATACTGAGGTTTCCCATTCCACCTGTGACTTAGCTCTGCAGAGCAGGCTACCTGGAGCAGCTGCAGGGCCAGGAAACCCAGACTTTGAGACCCATGTCTACTCCCAGCTCCCCTGAAGGTTAACTTCTTCCTCTCCAGGCAGGCATCTCACGTCACCACGCTGCAATCACACACCTACCCACATTCATTTTCTGTCCAGTGCAACCAGTAAAGCAGAACAACTCTTCTTACAAAGCAAGTGAGAACACAGCTGAAGACTGCTCAACCTGAGCAGCTCAGAACATAAGGCTACGAGGAAAGAAGGCTGCTTTCTCTCCTTCCTACCCCTCACTACTGCTTACTGCATTCTGCATGAGCAATTTGTCCTCCAGACACTGTTCCTACAAATGGGACCTCGTCTCAGGAAGACTTGCAGGCTAAGCAGCAGCACCTGGCAGGACACCTCCTGAGCTACAACCATGAAGGCTCCCTTTACAAGTCGTACCTACAGAACTCTGGAGTCACTGTGGATTTTCCTCAGCAAACCTCATGTTTGCCCAAACAGTTACCACAGAGCTGGAAAAGATCAACCTTTTATCCCATTGCACAATAGGGCAAAAACTCAAGCATGTCCCACTTTCACCTGATGGGAGCACACATTCAGTAGGTGACCCTACCTGATTATCATGAGCTATTCTCTTGTCAGCCTTCCCCCACTCCCTCCTGTCAATGTCAGTATTTCCCACTTGGGTGGGCAGGGTTATCTGCTTCTTGTTTGTTCTTCAGCAATACTTGGAGACGCAAGCTCATTTAACGCAAATCTTCCAGAGGAAGAGGTCTTAGAATATTTACCCGTATTGTATGGAAAACAGAACCATCCATTCTGTGTAGTTACAGATGAGTGCCCTAAAGGCACCTCAAGCCTTCAGCTAGTCCCTGTGACAGCCAGAACAGGCCAACATCCCCTACAGCACAAGCTAATGCCTATGCCATTACAACAGTGACCAAGGAGAGGGCTAGAAATGAAGACAAAGACTCAAGAATTAGCTTGGTGTTGAAGCTGCAGACAAGGCTGACCTCAGTTGCTCAACCTGCTCTAGATGTAAGGTTTGCAGTACACTTCCTCATCACTGACGTGGAATACCACAAAGGGCAAGGCCAAGAGAATTCAACTCTGAGAAAGCAGAAAAGGGTTGTCACCGAGTCAATCTGTGTTTCTTTTCCCTCAGTACATTATTTTTACCAAACAGCATTCATTTTGCCTGCATCCAAAAAAATATAGATGTAAATTACAAGCTGGTCGCTTGAAGAGATATGGGCAAAGGGAAGATTTCATGCTCTATTTCTTACGACACAAAGGAAAAAAAAAAAAAAAAAAAAAAAATCACAGAAAGAATGAAATACGTGCTCCAGATAGGGAAAAGTGGAGAGAAAGCAGCCTGCTCCATTTAATGAAAATACTGAGGATATTAATTTGTACGTGGTAATGCATTATGAAAACAAAGGCAAACATACTAGTACAACATGCTGCTGAATGTCATATTAATACTCATGAGTTACAATACAGAAAGCTGAAATAATCAGCACTGATGGGGAGAGAGGGACACCGTGACAAGTGGCTGTTACTATTTATAACTAAAATAATTTTCTTATGAAAGAGAGCAACCACTCTGTGCCATTTTCATCCATTCATCTGTACAAAGGCAAATGGCCATGGAAATTTCAGTCAAAACACCAGCAGTACACAGTTAAAATTCATACTGGTATGCTGTTAAATAGACAACCAATGCAGAGTAGCAGCAAAACAATGGGAGAAAAATAGTAAAACAGTAATATAGGGAACAAATGTTTAGCTTTTACAATAGCACCTAGATTCCTTCTGATGCAAACAAAACAGACTACAGATCAGTTTTTACAGCCTGCTAAAAAATAAAAGAAACAATGCAACAACACTAGTGATTCATATGAGTTTCAATCAGGAAGTCTCCCCAGTCATGGAGAACTGCACACTCATCATTTTCTCTGGTTTCATTCACCGTTAATTCCCTTTTGAAACTGAGGTGATGGATCTCATTAATTCTTGACTGCTTTCTAAAGGATGCAGCAGAACAACTTTCCTTCAGAAAGATGCTAGAGCCTTTTCTTACGGGTCCTGCCCCTTTACTTCACCTTCTAAGGAGAGCAGAACCTTGGTTCTTGGTTGGTTTGTGTTCTGATTTTTATTTATTTTTTTTTTTTAAAGACAAGGATAATATGGCCTCTGTATTTCGCTGGAATTGAAAGAAATATGATAAATATTTCTGTACAGAGAAATTAAAACCCTTTCCAAAAGATGGGAGAGAAGGGGACAGCCAGCATCCTCTAAGACCAGTTCAGAATATTACTCACAGTGCTTTTATAGCATCTCTTCTGTAACTTTCTGGAGACAGTTATACCACCTCAACAGCCTCAACTCTGGAGCCAAGATCACTCTTCAAAAGGGGAACATGCTTTTCTTCAGCTATCGCTTCTTCTGCACACACACAACATTTAACTCTTCAGATGCAAGAAGCACCTCTTCTGTTTTTCTATAGAAAATCCTGGAAGAGAAGCTCATACCCTGGAAGTCAATGACTGGCAATTGAGCTGGAAGCACTCAGGCTGGTACAACAGCATGCAAACCATATGTTTGTCCAAATTAATCCAAGTGGCACTACTGGAATTGACTCTCTAATTCAGTTGTGGGGTTTTTTGTTGTTTTTTTTTTGCTTGTTGTTGTTGTGTTGTGTCTTTCCATCCTCAGCAGATTCTCAACTCCTTACGCCATCAGTAACATTCTCTTCACCCGTGCATTCTGAGTCACAGCCATAAAACAGATCTGTTTTAACAGTTCAGGAGAGGTGTAAGACACCCACTATTCAAAACAAAGCTTTACAATTTAATACCAGTGCAAGTCCAGAAGCCTCAGTATTTGCACAAAAGAGTTCCAAAAAAAGCATTTGACAGATTATAGCTACAGAATTATAGCTATAGAATTTGTGCCACAACAGGTTCTGGAGAAGAATTCTGGAGGCCAGTCTTTCCTGAAATCCTTCCATCTTCAGGACAAAACAAAAATCATTGTTCACATCTAAGGTGTGATCACTTTGTGTACTTCTAAATAGGAGCCACCTTCAACACTATTTTGTGAGGCTGATTCACCATCTCAGGGAAGGTCCAACATAGCATTTAAGCCACAAGGGTGTAATAGTGGTTAAACACAGAACTTAAAGTTTTACTCTTGATCTAACTTTAAGTCTGCCACTATTTCCAACCTTTACCATCACCACCAGATTTTTATTTAGATCAAAAAAGTGTATAAACCTGTTGAGATCTCCTGGTGGCATTGATTTACATATCTTCTTCTGGAATAAAAGCTAAAACAAAAGAAAAGAAATTCTGAAACACAGTTCTGGGCACTGCTCCTGGAAAGCAGTCAGTGTAAGCAAAAGTCACTGAAAACATCACATCAGCAAAACACAGTGAAAGACTTCTCTCTTCCCCAGCTGTACCTCCACATCCACGTTACAATGTGTGAAGTCATCTGACTCACTTCTGTGAGCCTTGCACAAGTACAGTTAATCAGAAAAAGTTGGAAAGTAGTTTAAAGATTGGAAAGGAGGCTACAAGAATGGATAAACAGGCAAATATAGAACAGACTAGACACATAGCATACTGCTACACAAGCTTTCTGCACACAAATTGTAACACAGACCTTTTTCATCCAAAGCTTCTATACTCTGACTTCCTCTACACAAACATGCATTATGCAATTCCCACCACTCACAATAAACAAAAAAGCTCAGAATTAGCTTTTCCTAATGCCTAACTGCCCAGTTCATACATTTAGTGATTTCTATGTGAACAATGAACTTTGCTGAGCATAAAAAACAAGGTTTATCTTCACAAGTCATTGCTAATAAAGATTTTCAATCATCCATCTTTTTCTCTATTGTGAGACCTTGTTGATTATTTTTAGTCACTCTTTGTACCTTGCCCTTTCTTACCCAACCATTATTTTTTCCTTGGAGTTTTGACCCTCCTTCTGATGATAAGTGTTACAGGAAGAAGATTTAGCCTTACAGCGGCAAGAGAAAACACTCAAAGATGTACAAGCATCTAACTCAAAGAAACAGCCCTTTACACATCTGTTCACTGCTAGAATTCAGCTTTTAGCCATGCAGTTAGAATTTGCAGTGACTATCTCAGCATATTAAGAAGTCATAATCCTTATATCAATCTCCATGTGTCTCTATAGTAATAAAGGATTCACTTCAAGTTGTACCATTCAGAAAGAAGCAGACACAGAAAACCTTTCCTGCACAACAATGCATAGAAATGCTTATGTACAGTGAAGGCAAATCACCTCTTTAGACAGAACTTTAGGCCAATAGTATTTCTATCAACCCCATAAGCCAACGTGACCTGGGACAACTTGATATTAATGAAGAGTAAGGCCAAGACAACATTATGAACAAGTCACCTCACTGTAGGGATGTGATTTCACACAGTCTGTATACAGAAAACGGCACTGCATGTTGTATGTCAGATAGCATTTCTCTCTCTCTAGCATCTCTCCAAAACATTTAGTGAAGAATCTTAGAACAGAAAAAAAAACAAATGTTTTTATGAAACTAACACATTAATGGCTGAAATTAACACTGCATATCAAACTGGAAATCTCTATTCCTACATTAGCACACAAATGCTAACAACTGTGGCAGACACTTCTGATGTCAGGGTAAGTAATTCACCTGTGTTTCAGTAACAACTTTCCTCTGCCTCAGTTTAAGTCAGGTTATGCAGAACTACAATGTGACAGCTCCCAACAAGCCCCACGGTTGGTTTTGCAATGCCTTTTAACTGCAGGAACATTCAGAGTTGGCTCAGACACACAACTGGACAACACCTGACACATGGCAGGAATCAAAGGAATTTTCATCCTATTCCATAAAACACTGCTCAGGGGGAAAGAAAAAAAAAAACACGAAAAACGGAAGTGAACTCCAACACCACAGAACAGCACACATGAAACCTGGCCTAGCCTCTCCCAGGAGCACACTCGTGCTCTGGCCGCACCACCTCCACCCCCACCTTCCCCCTGCATTTTCAAGGCCACAGACGGTCACCCTCTAAGTTCCACCGCCTGTGCCGGGATAGCTGCCCCTCACGGGCCCAGCGGCACAAGACGAACCTAGATAAAACAAGCAGGGCCGACAGGATGAGGGCCGTGTGGGAGCGGCCGCCCGTCCCACGGCCCAGCGGCTGTCAGGGCGGCGCCAGGGCCCGGCTCGCAGCGCCCGGGGCTCCCGTCTGGCAGCCGACGGTCGCAGAGGACGGCCCCGCCGCCGGGCGCCCCGAATGCGGACGGCGCCGGGCTGCGCTCCCGGCAGGCCGCCGGGCTGCGGTAGCGCCGGGCGTCGCGCGTCGTCCCGCCGAGCCTCAGCCCTGGGAGGAAAGAGAGCGGCGTCCGGGCCTCGCGCCCCCGGCGCCCAGCGGCCTCGCTCACCTCCTCCGCCGCCTGCCGCTCCTGGCGCCGCTGCCGGGCCCGCTTCCGGCTGCCGGGCCCGCCGCTCCACCGGAAGCACCGCTCCCCCGCCCGCCGGCTGCCACGTCCGCACTGCCCGCCAACCCCCGGCCGCCGCCGCGCCCCGCCCGGAAAGGCCCGGATGCCGCGCAGGCGTTCTGGCGCTCGCGGGGTGACGTCACTCCGGACGCGGGCCGGCTGCCTCTCGCTGCCGTGCGGGCTCGCCGTGGCGGCGCTCGCGCTTCGTGACGTCGCCGGGCGGAAGTGCCATCGCTGGGTTGGCCGGGCCGAACCCCCAGGGTTGTTGTCGCGGGGCCTCGCGGGGCCCTGTCTCGCGGAGCGGTTGCGGCAGAAGTCTGTGTATGGCCCCGCTTTGGCGCCGAAACGCAGTGGCGTTGGAAGAGCGGCTGGAGCGCGCAGGCAGAGCCGTGCTGCATTACTGCCGTGACCGAGCCGTGTGTGACGCGAAACCACGTCCTTTGAAGGGTTAGCCACGGTGTCCGCGTCACGGGACGTCCCGTGCCCGTTAGCTGCTGAGGGCTGTTCTCAGCGCGTGCGGAGCAAAAAGAGGTCAATTTGTTCTTAAGGCTGTCAAATAAAATTACGTCTTAACCCAGTAGCATAAGGGGGAGTGTGGATTTGATTTCTCCTGTAGCTCCCAACGGCCAGGCCTGCGTGCGGTGGCCGGGAGGCCTCTTCCGGTGTGATGCTGAAGAGAAGCTGGTGGTGCAGGGCCTGGGTGCAGCTCTGCTCTCTTGGCCATTGAGGAGCCGGGATGTGATGTCCCCTGCTGAGAGCTGTCTGAATCCCCTATGTGTGGCTAATCCTGGCTATTCTTGTCCCCATGTCTAATACTAGGACTGGCTGCAGAGCGTCTGAGAGTGAGGAGCACATCTCCAGCCTGCCCGTGGTTTTCAGGACACTCCTGTGTAGTTACACCAGCTGCATAAGGAAGGTACAAGTGGAGAGTGTTGCCACTTCCTGGCTACTCTGGTTCAGTTTCTCAGGTTTGGGTGCCGTCACCTGATCTTGCACAAGTTTGTGCTTGTGTCACATCTATACCCGAAACTGCCATGCTAATGAATCCTCAGTGCTGGGTTACTCAGATTCGCATTTGGAAAGGGAAGTGGAAATAAAATTTTTACTGAAAAGCTTCCAGCTTTAAGAGTGCCAGATGAAGCTCTGGAGGCAGGAGGTGAGCTATTTTCAGCCATGCTTCGGTGAGAGATCCATGCACTGAGGGTGAGATTGACATGACACGTGTGCAGAACAACTCTGGCCCTTTACCAACAGCAGAATCAAATGTCTAATCATAGGCAGAGCAGCAGCTGAGAGTGCAGAAGAGCAGGGAAGGCTGGGCTTGACAGTCTCAACTCTCTTCTTGTGTGTGTGAATTTGAAGGAAAAAGTGAGAAGTGGGCCTTTGGGGAGATTGGAGAATTGTGATGTGAATGGTGAAGATGGGAATGGAAGATACTGCCTGTTAAGACCTAGAGCCTGTTTCGAAGTTGGGAAGACAAAATATCCAAAGTACAGAAATCATGGGAGCCGAAGAAGAAATGCTCATCACTCTGTCTGGAGGTGCCCCCTGGGGCTTCCGGCTGCAAGGGGGCTCTGAGCAGAAAAGACCCCTTCAGGTGTCAAAGGTAGGACCTCCAGGTGTGAACTGAAAGGGCAGGGTTGTTCTGCTGAAGTCAGGTATCCTTCCTGATAAGGCATCTTCTGCCAGTAAAAGGAGTGTCTGAACTCTTTATGTGACAGCAGATCTTAAAAGGAAAACTTGGGGGGAATGGTCAGGCAGGGTGTGGGATGGGATGGATGCTGCTAAGGTGGAAGTGTCAGGTGAAAGGTGGCCTGCTTTCTGGATAGTTGTGCACTTAATGTTCCCCATTTGTTGGCACTGATCAAACAGTGGTGACTGTTCAGGAAAAGAGCTCACATATGAAGGTTTAAGGACTTGTGTAAGGCATCCAACTAAATAAAAAATAATTGAAATCAAAGCAACAAATGCCATATTGCAATTCAATGTAACTGTCTCTAACCCTTCATTATATTATCAGTTTCAAAGTAGATGCTCATTTCTTACGGTCTGCTATTTGTGAAGTTTTCTTAATGCTGTCCAAAAGGAATATTTTTGATGCGTTCAATTGAAAGAAGAGATGAAAAGCAGTTGTTTGCAAGTGAGTTGAAATAACAAAAAAGAAACAAATATGAATTCTGAGTTGCACTTGTGTAAATCCGTAGCTGTTACTGATTTCCTGACAGAAAGACTAGAGGTTAGGTTAAAAATTAAGAAAAAAGAAAATGGTCCTGTGTTTAAGCTCATAACAGCTGCATTATACTTGATACAGTGATATGTATGGATGTCTCCCTGGAAGACACCCAGCAGCAGGAATGAAAAAATGCTATGCCCATCCCCATTCTGTTTTCCTTAAGTAGATTGTGTCTCTGACAAAGAACTTCAAAATGAAATGTTCTATGACCCCAGGTCAAGGAGTGTTTATCTGTGAGTTCTGCCAAATGGCTTGGAATCCCATGGCCTGGCCCAGAGTGGATGTTTCTTACATAGAGAAGGATTGTTTTTCTACAGGAAAATCACATATTCATAGAGCTTCAGGTACTGAAGAGAGATAATCAGTACCCTTGAAACAGGTATCTGGAATCAGTGGTTGTTAGCAAAACAGGATTTTCATTGGCCACGTAAGCTCTGTGGGGTTGTTTTGACTCACTTTTTCTCCCAATACACAAGAAACTGGGATTGAAGTGGCAGGACATACTGAGTAACTTAAAAAGATTTGTTATAACAGAACAGCAGCAAGAACTAGCCATTACCCATGCTAAGCTGCACCTTAAGGTGAATGGAATATTGCTCTCGGTTTGGTAGCTTTTTCAGAAAGATACTAAATTGAGCTCGCTCTCACCTCAAACTTGGTATCATGCCTTAAGACTAGCAATGAAAATATACATATTTTTACAATACTTGTATATATGGAAAATATAATTGATACAAATCTAAGTGTAAAATATTCTTCTTGCAGGACTGATTTTATGATTTTCCTTTTTTTGCTATTATTATCCAGAATTTAATAGCATCCGGTTGGCCATAAATACTGTTGTAAAAGCAATAGCTTAATCAGTCTCCAAAGAAAGGACTTAGGGATCCTTACTGGGAATCTTGTAAAATGCATAGAAGAAAATAAACCCCCAGAAGGCATGCAGTGTCCTGATTGTCTTCTGAATGGCCGTGTTGAGAGTAGAAGTCTGAATTCCAGTTTTTGTGTCTTTGAGTTGAAAGCTCACATTCTCATTCTTCCGCAGTCTGCTGTTAACATTTGCAGGACGAAATCTGGGCCAAAATGCCAACAATGTAAAGCATCTCCCAAAACCTTAACGTCATTAGCGGTATCTGGATATTCTAGGAACTGAAGATGGGAATGGTCCCATCACTAGGGAATCATGTCCAGGGATTGTGGCCGTATGTCACTGCGCAGAGAAATAGGGCAGTATTATTTTTTTGTTAGAGCTGTATTGCTTTGTTAGAACTCCATTGGTTTGCTGGAGCTGGGTTTAGTTGGCCGTGGATGCGCAGTTTGTTCTGTTCTGCCTCCATCCATGGGATCAGTGGCATTGCATAGCATCAGGACATGGGGTCAGGGGGAGGCGTCACTGAGATTGAGCCTGCCTCACAGAAGTAAGGTCAGATAACACAGTGTTTGTTAGTGTGGTGAAGGATGATTTGTGTGCGCATGGAAAGACAGATTAGATAAATGAGAAAGGTCTATTAGTAAACTGAATGCTGTCACAGAACAGCCTCTTGGGGAAAAAGGAGAGTGCTGGACCAGGAAAAGTTTGGTTTAGCAGAACAGAAATTATTATTTTTGCTTTGATTCTTACAGAAAAATGTATTTGGACAGAATGGTGAAGAACAGAGCAGGAATGTGTATTAATCTGTAGGAAACATGAAAGGAGATACAGACATGAGTATCCTGTACCTCCAAGGAAATACTACATTGGTACAGTTGGGCGTCTCTAGTTGTGATTTCAGGCAATTTCAACTTCTGGACTATAAAAATAATAGGAGTAGCAGTAAGGGAAAATGCTTACCATTGGATGTTGAATCAAATTGTTTCTTTATACCATTCTGGATGAAGAAATGCTAAGCAGAAAAAAAAGCAAATTTGGGACCAATAAGTGGAAATGAACCAACCATAACAAGTAAGTTATATAGAAATGGTTTACATTGTAGTTTGGCAGAAATGCTTGGATTGCTATACCAGACTAGGTATATGATCAGTCCAACTCCTGCTTCTTGCTTCCCTTGTGTTTCTTGCAACACAAAGTATTTCAGAGGAAGTGGTACACTTAACAATGCATCTGATTTTCTGGTCATGCAATGCAGAGGGAAATTCTTTCACACCAGCTGATTATCAGTATGCACTGTGAATGAGAATTAACAATCCTGGTGTTTTACCCTATACGTAAACATAATTATTTGTGAACAGATTGAGTTTTACTTGTTATACAGTTTCCCAGTAAAGATGCAGTCAGGCATTACAAAGACTAAATGTTGCACAACATAGGATTTCCTGTTTAGAGTTACTCTCTTGTTGTATTACAAATCCCTGCACATTTCATTATCTTACATGATCAGTTTACACAGGCACCTCTTACACCTCTTGCCTTTCTTCTTTCCAAAATTTACATCACCATCTTCTTTGCAGAATCACGGTTAAACCGTTAGAGAAACAAGAGATCAATTCTAAACACACTCTAGTCAACAACAAGGGGTGAAAAAGCAGCTGGATGTTCACACACTGGATTCACCTGCCAAATTGCTTCTGATGTTTCACTCTCCATGGGCTATGAGTTCAGGGACATGCCTGGAGCAAGATGCTGCAATTACACAGCATGTGGACAGTTCCTTGGGTCAAATATTACTAGCCTTGTGTTCAGGTAACCTTAATGGAGTCAGATAGCTCTGTCTGCCTCAGAATGAGGAAGAAACACATTGCTTCTTCCATCCAGCGGCGCCCAGTGGATACTGATGAAAAAAATTGAATTTAAATAACGTGATCAGGATTGAAATGCTAATATTGACTTCAACTGATTACACGGTTCCAGATCTGTAACTGCAAACATCTTTTGTTCTAAACTTTCCTGCAAGAGCACGTACTAAATATTTTGTTCTGCCCTAACAATCATTTGCAGTGTCTATGTGCTAAAAATGTCTGATGTGTATATGAAAGACAGTGGTACCATAACAATTCAGTCTCATGAAAACAGATACTGTAGGAGTGGAGGGTGAGATGAACAAGAAGCAAAAGAGAATTTATTAGTGCCTGGGGAACCCTCAGTAGAAAGCGTAGATGATTTTTAAATTAGGGTTATGTTAAAATATCAACTTGGTAATGAGTAAGCCAGAGGAACAACAGACAGTGATATGCTCAGCAGGCAGAAACACAGCAGGATAAAAGATCAACAGAGGACATGAATAATTCTGCAGAAATTATGATGTTTGAATAAGGGGAACTAGAGAAGCAAATAAGGGGAAAGAATAAGAGTAAAGAACTGAAAGAGGAAAGGAAAATCACCATTCTGTTATTAGCTACATCACTCCTCTTTCAATGGAACTCAGTTGAATTACTGTGCTTTCACATTTGGCTTATTACAATTTGTAATTAACTTACTTAGGAAAGCAGGTAAAGGATAATGGGAATTCACACTCCCCCTTACCACACTGATGGTGAATTTGTATAGCTGTATGGTAGTAACACAACAATGCAGCAACAGCACACATCAAATCTTTGGCCATCAACAGTCAGCTGTTGATGAGTAAACAAGCTTAATAGCGAGAAACAAAAAGGCCCCATTGATGGCAAAGTTTTTATTTTAGAAAGGCTTAGGAAAAAGCACATTGCCCTAACACATACACTATTCATTGTAAGGGGAATCTATAGTGATGAGATTGTTCACCCATTCTGAAAAGAGAGTACAGTAAGGGAGAACAATACCTTCAGGTTCTTGGAGGATTTCTTTGAGAGAAGGGGATGTGCATCAAATGCTCTTGGAGCTAAACAATATGTGAAATGAGTAGTCTGAGAAAAGTCATAAGGTAAGCATTATGCTTATCAGCAACCAAACTAGGAACATAATATGGAGCTGTATTAGGGAAATAATTTCTACGATTAACAGGGCAACTTTCAGATGGTGCAAGTGCATGCAAGCTGCCCTTTGGAACCTTCAATAAACAAGATTTATTCTATGAAAAAGAAACGCTATAAAAAACACAGAAGGCCCTTGTGCTTAGTTTGAAAGATGCTTAGCCTGGTTCACAATGAATACTGAAGAAATAAATGGAAACTGGAAGCTTTCCAATTGCTACTGATAGTAGAGGAGGAAGATCTGAACAGGCTGCCCAGAGGGCTGTGGGTGCTCCAGCCCTGCAGGTGCTGCAGGCCAGGCAGGATGGGTGCTGGGCAGCTGTGCTTCTGGGGGCATCCCTGCCCATGGCCAGGGCTTGGGGTTGGGTGAGCTTTAATGTCCCTTCCGACACAAACCATTCAGTGATTCTGTGTTGTCAGTGACTCACATGAAGATAATGAGCCAGCAAAATTATACATTTCTGGGGGAAAAAAAAGGCAAACAA